GCTGTCTCTACCATTTCACCTAAGAACACAGAAAAGAACGACAAGGATAAAATTAACTGGAATTACATAAGATTAGAGCGCAATTCCTCCTCTCATGTCATCCCAGCTCCCGCGCCTACGAGGAGGGGCTCTCACGCTCGCTCCCTCTCGACCAGCTCCGGGGAGTTAACTATTGATGAACCCATGCAGATCTCCTCTTGCAAGGGCCGAGAGAGGTCCCCGGCTAGCGCCACCGAGCGCAAAAAACCTAAGAAACACAGCCGCCCCCATCGTAACTCTTAAACCATTACGTTCAACGTTTTACAGTGGAATTGTAGAAGTATTCGGAATAAACTTCCATATTTATCACTTTTAGTGAACTTACACAGGCCGTCCGTTATTTGCCTACAGGAGACGATGCTGGAGGATCATTCTGATCCTTCAGTACTAAAACACTACCATGCGTACAGAAGATATGACGGTCACGGCGTGGCCGTATACATACACAAAACACTACCACACACAGAAGTGACGTTGGATACCACTCTGGAGGCAGTCGCGTGCAGAGTGAAATTCAATGGCACGTATCTGGCTATCTGTTCTCTCTACTTGCCTTCCAATACGCCTATTGCTGATGATGACTTAAAGTCGTTATTTCACCAGCTTCCAGGCAACAAGCTGGTTTTGGGCGACTTTAACGCTCATCATCAGCAATGGGGCAGTGAGAGGTCAAGTGCACGTGGGGAACAGATTGTTAACATTCTCCTACAGACAAACCTCTGTCTTCTGAACAATGGTTGTGCGACTCGTGTAGACGATCGGACAGGTAACGCGACTGCCATTGACTTGTCATTGGCCTCGCCAAATATGTTCTCTGACTTCTCTTGGGAGGTCAGCGACGACGCACACGGAAGTGACCACTTACCAATCTGCATCTCTTACTCACGCGACGTTGCCTCTATCCCTCCTCCACCTAAATTTAATTTTAAGAGAGCAGATTGGGCAACCTTCCGTGTGGTCGCCGATGTGGATGTATCTGGCGAGGACACTGACACAATGGTTAGCAACGCAACACATTCCATTTTACACGCCGCTGAGGCATGTATTCCGAAAACTTCTACAATTCACACAAAGCATGGAGTTCCATGGTGGACAACGGATTGTCGACAAGCACTTCGTGAGCGTAATAGGCGATACAGGTATTTCAGCCAGCAGCCCAGTCAAGCTAATTTCATGGCCTATAAAAAGGCAAGGGCTCAGGCAAGGAAAGTCATCCTTCAAGCTAAGAGGGGCTCTTTCAGAGAGTTCACGGCATCAGTAAGCCGTACAACCCCGCTAGGGCAAGTATGGAACACAGTCCATATCCTTAGCGGGAAAAAAACAACCACTCCAGTAACCACCCTCATCACCAACGGGGTTGTTACAGACACCCCCCAAGCTATTGCCAACACCTTAGCCCGGCAATTTGAACGGGCGAGTAGCTCCGCCTCGTTCCACCCTGCCTTCCTTCCCCGGAAGGAGGCAGCAGAACAAACAGTCCCAAACTTTGCCACAGGAGGCGTAAACACTGATTACAACTCAGAGTTTAC